AAAAAATACTCAATATGTCCTACTATAATCCTTTTGCATTAATTTTTTAATTGTTTTTACAGATATCTCGGACGGGTCTAAACAGTAAAATCTATACTTATTTGACCATGAGTCCTCTTGTTCTCAACTTATTTCAATATCCAGTTGTTTAGCTACCATTTCCTTAGCCATCGATGACTTTCGTATTCTGTATTTTTGTCAAAATTCCTTTATTAAATATTTTATAATTATATTGTATATTCTTAAGTATTACTTTCTGAGTACCGTATAGAGCACCTACTACTTTTTCTTTCTGTTGTAGCTGATAGTTTTTCTACTATTCTTAAATTAGATGAACAATGATTTGAAACTTGAAATACGAAATAATTTAATCAAGCTCAATATAAATAGTTGTAATAAAATGTTGTATATAATACTTCATGAATATGTAAATCACCATAATTTTTGTAATTTATTCAGCCTTATGTGAAGGGATGACTATAAAATAGAATTTTAGTAATAAATGGGCAGTATTATTTAAGGAATTGGTGTTATTGGAAAATAAACAATTTTAAACTATTCGTGTTTTATACGTGCTTACTATCAACATGACAATATATGAATTAATTTTTTATTATAAAATATAATCATAGTAATAATTTTACTGGAGCATAAAATGGCAAGTAAGTTAGCTAACGTCACTGATAAGCCCCGCCGTTGGTTTGGATTGTTGGTATTTTAACCAGGTTTTTAGTGTCAAATCTATAACCTCATATCACATGCTCGAAAAACTTGCACTAATTTTTCCCAATATCAAATCCATCGACACTTCTCTCCGACAATGGACATATGACAGTTACCGAGGCTTCAGATTTTATTACGGATATTGTTGTTTTTGTTTTATTCATGTGTAACAGAGTGTGATTTTATTGGTAATTTAATCGTATCCACTATACGCCTCCCTAAATTACGATAATATTGATAATGAGTAGTTATTCAAATAATACTCATATCATGTGTAGCGAGAAGCAAGGAAGTATATAATTATTGTTCAAGGATAAATTTCTGAATTCTGATACCCATAATGAATCTATAATTGTTAAGACGTAGATAACTTTGATACCTAAAGCTACCAATTAGTAGTAAAAGAGGAAACTTGTTATAACTATTTATGAAACTTATACGCGGTATTTATTTATGGATTTAAACCAATAATATTTTTCATGTTCTATCGCGATATTTCTATAACAAAAAAAAATATATATATATATCTGTACGCATACAAGCGTACAAGGTACAAGGTCCGTATCTCACTATTTTTTTGGAAAAACAATTTTTTCTCACCTACACAAAAACAATATAATTATAAAGCTATGTTTTTTGAAAACTCTCCTGTCGTAGTAATTTTTATGTGCGTGACTTCATTGTGTACTATGTATACGTCAATAAATATAGTATATGTATCTATATAATACAGCGATTGTAATATAATTAAGCTACAGGCCTAAAATGTGAACACCTTAGTTATATCAAACTATATTATTAATGAGTAATGACGATGACTTACAAGTAACAAAATATTAAAACATAGTGCGAGGGATATTAAAAACTTATGCACTCGAAGACAGAGGTGATCACAGGGAGGGCCACATAGGGGAATTTCTCCCGTGACCTTCTTTTCTTCAAATTCTTAATATATAAGTATATTATTTATATCCCACTCGGAAAATAGATCAAAGTACACTGCAAAATCATTTATGAAATTCGCCCCTTCCCCTATAAAAGAGTTTTGGGAATGCCACTGCTTGAAGGTGATATAGTTGGAGGTTTATTAAGGAAATATATATTTTTCATTTACTCTGCCACCGTAAGTATAACTCAAATTATGTACTTACTAATCCTTCAACTAACCTTCAAGCTTCAAAGAAAAACAATGTTTCATTAAAATGTGGCATTTACAGTTAAAATTGTTAATTTTTAAATTTATTTTACTGTAAAAATAAAATTAAAAATATTCCTTGCTTTACGTATGGGAAATTTCAAATCTGAATAAATAGAATCATAACCAGTATTGGGGAGTTAAAATAATATATGTTACATAAACGATGTGAATTAATTTTTAATTATAAAATATTATATTCATAATTTGTACATACTATAATATTATACATAATTTTAATTAAGGTATACATAAATTATCGAAGATAAAAACGGTTTTTTTTTCAATGGGCATAAAAGTACGTTCTTCATAATATGCAAGTGATTGGCACGATACAGGTATAATAAGTTATAAATAATAAAGTCAATGTATTATAATAACTTTTACACAATAATTATTGTTATGCATGGGTAAAATCAAAATATTATGTTGTTTGTAAACTACCATTAAGCGTATCTACATGCTCTTCCCAACATGTGTTCTACACCACCCAATTAAATTTCAATCGGAAAACTGACCGAACCAAGAATCCACACGAAAATAAATAATTAGCCTCGGTTGCCTATGGCCTCAAAGTAAAAAAAAAAGTACACGAAAATTAAAATGCGATTTCAGAAGTTTTGGCACATTCCTGAGCTGTAAAACAATAATTTGGCTTTAGGGGTTATTTAGATTAATCATAACATCGGTGTTTTATAAACAACCGGTTGGATCGATGCACATGATAATATACATAAATATTATTTTCACTCACGATACACAAGAAGTTGAGAGTCTACGACGTTTATATATCCAGTAAAATAATATTGTCCATATCCTGAAGCTTAATCGATTATATACATATATATATATTATATATATATATATATATATATATATATATTATATATTATGTTTCGCAAAATTGCAAAATATATTTTTATGACTACGCGTCATATATTAGTTACAAATATTATATAGCATTTCATAGATGATATTTCAGACACAATAAATTAATTTTTATGTATAATGTATAAGATAGTAAATAAAATATAATAATTATATCATACTTTTCCTTCAATCATTGTCAGATCTATTTTCAAGCTCATCTTTTGAACTTTTCCTGAATTCTTGTAGAATATTATAAACTTTTTCTACAAAACAAAAATTTTAAAGGTTACTTTATTAGAAAAAAATTGTTTATAGATGCATAACAAAAAAACAATAATATTAATATACAATAGGCAGTAGTGACAATTTTGGGCGGATTTTGAAAAAATATAAATTATAAAATATTGATAAATAGCATGTTTATAACTCATTATAAAATATATATTTACATATTTTATTTGCAATTCTCATAGGAATCTTTGAAATAACTTTAAAATTTGTAAGTCAGATAATTTTTTATAAAATTTTTTTAATATTAGGGGGTTGAAACCCCTGTTTTCGTTGCTGGAAACAAAGGTCACCGCTTAATATTTTTCGAGAACAAAGTTTTATGAGCATTAGAAAATGAAAATTTTATGAATTCTGGTATTTTAACGAATTTCTATTAACAATATTAGTTAATAAGCAATTCTATAAAATAATACATAGCGGCTCGAAACATTTACTGAACACTTATAAAATAATTTTAAAGCCATAGTAATTTTTGAAATATTAGTATGACAATTATACTATTTATAGTAGGTACTTAACATTTTCGATTTTTCGTAAATTTAATTAAGTTTGATTAAACGAAGGATATATCAAAATTTTGATCTCATTTACATACATACCTAGATGTCTTTTTTTTTTTTTTTACAAAAGTTAGAATATTATCTGTTCAACCTACCTCATTAAGACATTTGATTCTACTACTATATAATTTAGAAATATAAAATGATCGGGCGGACCTCTACCACTCGGAATCATTTTTTTGAAAACAGTTGTATCATTCATCCATCGTTGTATGTCATCCGAGCTAGAAGTTTTGCTCAATTTATTATAATTGTAGTATTTTATTCTTAATTTGTTTGAAGATTTTAATAATAAATCAAAATAATTGTAAATGACTGTCTTCGATATTGTCTTACGTAGTTGCATGAGACTACAAAATATATTATGTCCCTATTAAAACATTATTAAATATTCATGCCATATATGTGCATAATATGCAGATGACATTGTTAAATTTACATGACGAGAGAAGCCTACATATGTATTGATAATAAATTAAGAACAATGAGTTTTAAAACTAACGAACAGAAAACCACGTACTATTTACAATTTAGCCTACACGTTGTTTATTAAATATTATTTATCATCTGCAACCTGTGTACAATACACTGCTTACCGCGTCTACAACTTAACTTTTGATACACACGGTCGTTAACAGTGAATCGCGAACACGGTTAATCGAGTCAATGGTTAATCGCGGTTCTATCGTACCTACATGGAATTGTATATTCACCGTAGAAGCGAACGTGCTGTACAAAACGTCTGGCAAACATAACGCCATATTAGAGAGTCTGCGTACCTTAGGCCATCTATAAGTATCAGTTTATAAGTAACGAAAAACGAAATAGGAATGCGTCTAGCAAATCATACACTTTTCGTGGCAATGTTGATTCGAAGGTGTTTCATGGTAAATCTTGCAAATTTTACAAGCCTCTTGTTAAACCCGAACGCAGGTAAACTAAATAGATTTTTATGATGCAGAAACACGGAAACAATCGAAATCGCGGAAATCGATCGACTGAAGGCAATCGACTAAATAGGTATTGGAAAGAAGAGCGTTCAGAAAATCGAAACGAAACGATGATGAGAGGTGTTGGCGGACACAGGGAACAATAGTGAGTTTCACGAAGACGCATTATAGCGCAGAACCCGATGGATCGGTGGTCGGAAACTTTTCGAGCCGCGTAAGCGCTGCAAGTGTTTGCGGAACACGTCGGGAGGGGGGGGGGGGGGGGGGGGACTTGTCTTGCCGTTGCGCCGCGCCAACCGTTCGACCGGTTCGAGACGGTGCGCAACGCCCGTGCCCGGTGGCAGATGGCGCTCCGGTCGCCGGGCAGATACTCGGCAACCGATCGCGGTCGATCAGCTGTGACGTCGTCGACGTTCTTTCACCGCCGCACAGTCGCACGACGCGATTTCGTAAGTAAACAAACCGCTGTGCGCCGTCGTTGTCGTTCGCCACCGACCAATCCGACCGCCGTCCGACCAGTCCGCCGCCGTCGGTGCGAAAGTGCAGCAGGTGTGCGCGCGCAGACGTTACTGTCGCACCAGTCCGCGAGCACCACGGATTTCACCGGAAAATTGTTTTGCGCTCCGTACTATAAATCACCTAAACGCACCGGCGACGCGCGCATCAACGACACATCCGGTCCGTTGCACCGGATTTGCGGAAGAGATATCACGTCCGTTTTTTCCGGTCCGGGTTTTCGTCCCCGTCGGACGGCACGCGAACACCGAAAAAATTCCCCGCGTGACGGACGGACGCCGCGAACCCGATCCGCTCGTCCGCCGCAACGTACAACGCGTTGAATCCCCGCGGAAACCGGTTGTACGGCACAACACGTCGATGAACTGCAACGATCGGTCCTACGACTACGAGTAATAGGTAAATACGTTTGTATTGCGTTAACGGTTTGGTTTTGGGTGTGATCGTCGAAAATTAGTTGTGACGATACGGCATCGCGTTTAAAATCTTCGGTGGCCGCACCGAAAACAGGTCGAAACGGTTTTTGACATCGGTTCTGAACACACAGGTCATGATTTGTGATGTCTACTATTTCAAAACCGACACACGATTCCACGGTTTACGTTAGCTGCATATGAAAAACGATTCCGATTTCTGAAGACGGAACAAAAAAGTGCATCGATATCAATAATACCGTCGCGTATTATCGGTGTGCATCAGGAGTAGTTATACGAGGCTTTTGGGTGCGATTGATTAGGTACACCAGCATAGATGTCAGCAGCACTGAGCGTACAATACTAACTTACTAGGTAAACCGATAAAGCGTTCTTTGGTGATCATAACATTTTCACTTGGGTGCACTTTTCTAATAATATCACTTATTAATAACAACGATAACGTTGCGAAACAATATACAGCCGACTGCCTGGTGTTTTTCACTCGTTTCTCTTTGTCGGTGGAACGTTTTACAATTGTTGTTGTATTATTATTTAATATTATCATTGCCGCACGGTGTTATGGTACAGATGATCGATACGCGATGCGTCGTTGTTTTTGTATCACTTTCTCTTTCGGTCTTATTTGTCCACATAACGCCGTCGCGATCTGCTTTACCTAATGTAACTTTGAACGGCTGCAGCAGAACTCTTGACAGACCTTTCGATTGCGGTACGTAAAATCTTATCTTAAATACTATTATATAAAGAGACAGCATTTGTTTGCTCGCAAAAATCTTGATAACTGCTGGACCGATTTCAAAAATTCTTTCACCATTATAATGCTACATTATTACTGAGTAATACGGCTATTATTATTACTATAAAAAATTAGGGATCCTTACTAAAACTTTGTTCAAATTTGGTATGTAAAATTATAGATCCCAGTGTTTCGAGTTCGAACCACGATCTCGGTTGCTTAACTTTTTGCATATTTTTTACAGTTTTTTGTCTTTTTATTACTTATTAATTTTTTAATTGGTCGCGTTTCAAGTTTGGTCTTAATGTATAATCGACTAAAAAAAATTTGATTGAACATCCGAAAATTATAAAAGTAAATATGTATTTTCGTCGCACCGTCGTCGAACACGTTACAGTGACAATTACAGTACTGTTTGAGAGACTTCAATTCCCTATAAAAATTTCGTTGGCATTTACAATTAATAAGGCTCAAGGTCAAACATTTCAATGTGTTGGTATTGATTTGCCTTTTGACTGTTTCTCACTTGGACGGTTATATGTAGGATTATCAAGAACAGGTAAACCGGAAAATTAGTTTACTATATGACCAAAGATTTAAAACAAAAAATTGTATTAACTCTGACGTATTTAATTAAATTTAATAAATAAATACATTTAAATAGAATTTCATTTTATTTAAGTAAATGTTTTAAGAATATCGTATGCTCTAATGACACACAATGTAGATTATTATTACCCTACAAAATGAAAAAAGTGCCTAAAATTAAAAAAATGAATAAAACAGAACAATCTAACCTGTTCAACGATTTTTACACGCAACGATGTGCACGGGGTATAGCTATATATATATTCTTCTTTTATACATATAAAAAAAGAAGAATAAATTGTAGGTAATACTAAAATCACTGGGTCAAATATATCTATAAAAAATATAGCAATAGCAAACCATTGTCGGGTCAGCTATATAATATAAAAGAAATAAAATAGATCCTAAACACTAAACGACACACAAGATAATTTCATCACGAGTATAAAATGTTTGACGCCCAACGAAGTGGGCACAGGTCGGCTTGTATTCGATAGATTGTTGATGAAATGGATTGCGAGAAAGGAAAGAAAAAAAATTTATTGTTTGGTTCTCAATTTGATGACGCCTTAGCACCCGATGAAAATCGTTATAATAATTTTATCGCACTTTTCATCTAACAATTTTAGTTGAATGAAATATATACTTTTAAAATAAATGTTATCATCCGGTTCTATAGATGATGATGAAATAAAATTATATTTTAATTTGTTTTGTGTTTGAGACAATAAAAGCAAGTGATATAACATAAATAACTGTAGCGATTATTCAATCTTTAAAAAATGTTGTTCTATTTGGTATTCAATAATATAAGTACGTCTTTTCTAAATTGGCACATAACTTTTGTCAATTTTAAATGCCACACATCGTATTTATAATATTAGTTGTGCTCGAATCGAAAACCGTATACTCTAAACGAAATGCAGCCATAATAATATCATTATGACCTATGAGCATGCCTTGTATCTATTACGAATGCATCATTTGCCGGACGTCTCGAACCTACACGTTTATATTTATTATTTTTTTTAATATTATAATTCATAACCGTAAACTTATAATATTTTCACTTATTTATCATCGACACTATCTGAACACAATTACCCGTTATTGTTTAATGTTTCTAATTAATTTATTTTACGCCAGCCATCGATAAAACCGAGGATAAAACATACTAGGTAACTCTGAATTCATTAAAAACCGTTACCAGATTCAGAGGTTATTGCTCCTGTTGTTAATTATTTATTGATTAGTTTCCTACTGCTATGGATCGACGAATAATGTTAGTTATTAATACTCTGTATACATATATTTATGATTTAAAAATTGAAAATTATATCTATAAAAAAATAAATAAATAATAATAGTTTTTTAATATTTGATAATTGAGTAATTTTAACAATTTAGGGTTATTAGTTGACAGTATAGTTATACTGTAGTAATAAGTACTGTAATAATTACTTAAGTACCGAGTTAAGTACTTACTACATTTCCGTTTCTAGATCCTCATAATTAATATGGTTTAATCTTATTGGTTTGATATTCTTTAAGGATTATAGTTGTATAGTAAGTTGTGATATAATTGTGATTTTAACTAACACTCAACTAAAATTTTTGTACCTGTAAATAATAAATTTCTATGGCCTAAAATAAAGTTATAAAGACTATAGATCATAAATGTCTTACATCATATAAAACAAGCATTTATTTAAATATATCACTAAATAATAAAAATTATCTATTTATTTTGTTATTATTTTAGGTAATTCAGTTTTGGATTTGGTGAAATATGTATAATATAAAAATTGTACTTGTAAAATATAAAAAATTTTTATGACAATATTAATTTAAGAGTTAAATTTATTTTCGGAAAAAATATAATGAAAATGTGTGATACGATAAATAAACTTTGTGATTATGTATATAATCGTTATTTTGTTAATAGGACTTAACTTAAAGTGCATAAGTATACTAAATCAAATAATTTAGTAAAAATATGGGCTTGAGAATATTCATAATATGTTATCATGAAATTCTCAATTATAATATTTTATAATTTAATACTCTTACTTTAATTAAATAAAACAGTACAACATCTATATAGATATGTATTTAATTCTTATAACTTGTAAGCTTTAAAAGGACTTTTACATTTTCTTTACTATTTTCAACATGTATTTAAAAGAAAAAATATATTTGTTATTTACCTAGTAATAGAACGTATTAATTTTAAATTAAAATTAATTTTTATTTATCCTGGTGTAATTTTATTAAACTACTTTACTACAATTTTTTTCCTCGATTTTTTCTGTTTCAAAAGTCGGGTTAAAATATTCCTGAAATTTAAAATTATCACTCATAATAATTGTGTATAAAAACTAATAACATTTACATTTTGTACTTATTTGGTTACCATTTAAATTTTTCAATATTTTGATATAACCAAAAGTTTTAAGACTGTTTGATGTCTATATTTTCAAGAAAAAGTGTTTCAAAAGTTGTATATTAATTTCTATGTTTCTATTTTCTTATTTTTCAATTAATTTTGGGAACCTGTAAGAATATTGAATACAATTTTTCTACCATCAACTTAAATTCATTTTGTATTTTAAAAAGTTATTGCATGAAATTCTTGATTAAAAGACTTGACATTAAAAAGTCTAATCATAAAAAAATGTTCTAGAAAAAATCATGTTTAGGTACTAGATTTAATTTGCTGTACTTATTTTTCATGATTTATTTTTCGGTAATTATTTTTTACTTTTTCCTATATTCAAAGATATTTCATTAATTTAATAATGAATGTAATCATATAATCTCATAATTTTTACTTATTGCTTCACATTGTTTTTTGATAATATTCATAAAAAATTATCAGTTATAAATTATAAACAAATTATGTAATTGTTTTAGTCATTGATGAAAAGTACCTAATCATAAGAAATTAATATATTGTGTTTTCAATATTTTAAATTTACTCGTAATATAAAATAGTTGAATAAATAGGTCTTTTAAAATTTCATATTGTCAACAATATAACGTATCTATCAATCATAGAAATGAATACATATTATTAGTTGATTCTCATTTATTATTATAGGTATATCCTTATTTCTAAAGTTCAATAGATTAATATAATATTTTTTTAATAGTCACAGGTTTACCTATAATATCTACTGGTTATATTTTTCGACTATAAAAAAAAAAAAAAAATTACTAACTCCTAGTATTTAACCTAGCCATTAGTTAAAAAAACAAAAAATCCATGTGTCACTGTCTTACTTTATTATTATATTTTAAACTATAATACATCAGTATGATTCAAGTTATATTATTTACCTATGATTAAAAGATTAAAATAATACAACATCTATGAATAATTTGATAATATAAATCATAAATAAATACTGCATTTATGTGTAATATTTATATAATACGTATTTGTGAGCTTGTACACTGTGGGGTATTATGTTTAGCTATTATAATGTATAAAATATATTTACACACGATATAAAATGTATAAACCGGTTCACAGTGATGACCAGTGGCGTAATTATAGTGCTTTAATTTAGGGGGGGGATAATAAACATAACATTTTCTCAACAGTCTAATTTTAGTAAATCCTTTCCCTCAATTAA